GGCGCTCAAGGGAGGCGGAGGGGCACAAGCCGGGCTCGGGCAGACGCGGGCCACAGGGGGGAGGGCGCTCTTCCCTCAGTGCCGGAGCCGCCGACCGAGAAGTCTCTCCCCGGCCATAGACACAGCGGAGCCGCGCTCGCTTCCGGGTTGGCGGCGGGGTCACGCACGACGTGACCTCGTGCGTGAGCCTGGCGCGCCGGGGTTGGACGGAGACGGGTTTCCTTGGCAACGCGGCGCCTTCCGCGTTCTCTCTCCAGGCCACGCCCTCGTAGGTTAGTTGGAACCCGAGGGTGGGGGGAGGGAGGAATGCGCCGGGGAAGTTTTTCTAGAATGGGAATGTGCTAAGTGCATTTCTCCCTTAGGCATCCTCAGGGAATGGGTGGGCTTGCCTGAGCTGGGTTGCCAGCCTCCAGCCCGGGACTGGAGATCTCCCGGAATCTCCAGAGGAGTTCAGCCATGTTTGTGTAAAAAGCCCAGTAGCACCTTTTAAGACTAAGAAACTTTATTGTAGCATAAGCTTGCATCTGACGATGCTTTTTACTATTTTGCGGCTGATCTCCAGATAACAGAGATCAGTTCCCTTGGAGAAAATGGCTGCTTTGGAGGGTGGCCCCTATGGCATTAGACCCTGCTGTGCTCCCATTCTGACCCAAACCCTGCCCTTCCTGTGTTCTGGCCCCAAAATCTCCAGGAATTTCCCAACCCAGAGTTGGCAACTTTATGCCTGAATGTGCTTGGAAACCAAGAGCTAGGAGAGGACGTCTGGTTTTTCGTGCTTTGAGGCATGCACAGAGTTCGTGCTTTGAGGCATGTTTACCCTCAAGGCAGCACAGTGCCTTGTCCAAAGTCTGTCCCTCAGGGTCTTTGGGCATGTACAAAGCGTATTCCCCCTCAGAGACAGCATAATAGCAACCGCCAGCTTTACAGGGCTTCTGCAAAGTGCACATTTCTCGTACACACCAGAGTAGGTTCCAGTGGGCCTCTTTTCCACTTGTGCCCACGGAGGTAAAAGCAGTGAGTAAGGAGTGCATTTTCCCTTGTAAATTGGGGACAGTCACATCTGGCCTCTGTGAGTCTAAAACACGCATGGAATGCACTATCTTCCTACACCACCATAGGCCCCTTGAATGAACGAGTGTTTCTAGGCATGTGGAGAATATGTTTCCTTCAGATGGCGGAGGAGCCACAAGCATTCTAAGACGCATGGAATGCACTATCTTCCTACACCACCATAGGCCCCTTGAATGAACGAGTGTTTCTAGGCATGTGGAAAATATGTTTCCTTCAGATGGCGGAGTAGCCACAAGCATTCTTCTAAGAGAATGTAAGAGAGGAAGAAGAGAAGAGATTGGATTTATACCCTGCCCTTCACTACCCAAAGGTGTCTCAGAGTGGCTTACAAACTCCTTTCCCTTCCCACAACAGTCACCCTGTGAGGTAGGTGGGGCTGAGAGAGCGCTGACAGAAACTGCTCTTTTTCAAGAGCAGCTGTGCCAGAACTATGGCTTGCCCAAGGTCATCCAGCAGGTGCAAGTG